CGCACGCACGCACTCACGCACACACACACACACATACACACACACAGACCGACTTAATAATATTACAACACCAGACGTTTCAACTGCATTCAGCAGTCCTCATCAATATTTATATACATAGTGACAGGTTGCAGGCCCATTTTTATGCATGAGAGAGAAAGGAATGAAGGAAATTCCACTATCACCAGGAAATATGTAGATGATTGGGTGACAAAAAGGAAACAAGGGCAGGCAGCCTGTAAGTAACTACGTATATGACCACTGATGAGGACTGCTGAATGCAGTTAAAACGTCTGGTGTTGTATGATTATTTGACTAGAGTATTGTGAAAAATAACTAGCTTCTAGCTTTAAGTGATTGACCCAGTCTTTATTTATAAACAGCTTTGAGATTGCGATAATTATATGTTTGGTTGGTAGTGGTTTAGGTGACTGCTCATATCTACTGATACTTCTGCCTCAAACTAGATATAGCAGAAACTATACAGCTGCCCTGTTGTTCTCCATATAAACACTTAGGGAACTAAGAATGTCTCCTCTCAATCTGACTCTCAATCTGACTCTCACTCTTTGCAAGATGACCTTTCTAATCTATTTTCCTGGAGCCTTCAGTGGAATTTACACTTCAATGAAAACAAATGTGTTTTACTCCGTCTTTGTCCTAAACACCCCCGTGTCCTCCATGACTACACAATCAATAGCTCACCAAATCAAGTCCTTGATTGCTATCGTGATCTAGGAATCCTGATATCTAGTGACCTGAAGTGGGACAATCACCTGACAATGATGACTGCTCGGGCCTACAAAGTTTTAGGCCTAATTCGGATGTCCTTCGCCAATGGCCTATGTATTTTATTATTATTTTTTTAATATTATTATTTCAGCTTTACAACACAGGTAGGGGTGATGCCATAAAGAAGTGTGACAGATAACATGGGAGGTGGTGACAACTGTGTTGAAGGACTGAAGGCATCAAGCCAGCAGCCATAAAAATAAAAATAAAATTACACAGAATAGGACATAACATGGACAACATTTAGATAAAACTAGTGAAATGCATTGAGATGGGAAGCTTAGAGCATTTTTGGCATGGACAGACATAGTGATAGGAGCATACATTATCAGAATCAAAGTGTGAGATGAAATGAATCCAAAAGAAGTTTCGCAGTCTAGACTTGATGGTAGCAATAGGGAGATTAATATCAAATGATGGTAGAGAATTCCAAAGGCGGGGAATACGATTGAAGTAAAAATTTCTCTCAGACTGGTTTTTACAAAAGGAGTGCCTTAGCTTGAAATGAGAGGATGAGCGTGTAGGGTTGTCACAAAATTTGACATAATTGAGTATACTGAAGTGTTCGGAGGGGAATTTTAGGGACTTGATGAGAAAGATAATATCAGCAATTTCTAACTCCATCATTAGCGGTAAGAGATGTAAATACACCAGACGATTTTTATAATCCATTGCAGTACCCTTCATGACAAATTTTGTTGCTCTTCTTTGAACGAGTTCCAGACACTTTATATCCATCAACAAGTGTGGATGCCAAATGACCGAACAATAGAGCAACTGAGAGCGTACAAGGGATGTATACAGGTAGCGTTTAGCGAATACAGACATGGAGTTTGAAAAACTCTGCGAAGCAGACCTAGCATTTTGTAAGCTTTGGATGTGATCAGCTGATAATGCGGTCGCCACCGTAAGTTGTGAGAAAGCTGCATTATTTCCTGCTGTTGCGCCAGGCAGTCGATAGCCTGACTACTCAGATCACGACGCTGAAGCGAGAGGTTAGCGAGCTAAAAAAAGATATTGTTGGCAGCCTGAACCCTTTCAGCCAAGAAAAGATTATATTCATCTCTCGTGCGCTCTCAACTAAACTATGCTTCCCAAATCTGGAGACCTTACCTCATCAAAGAGATTGTTGCTCTGGAAAGAGTACAACGACGTGCGTCCAAGTTTATCCTCAATGACTATCAATCAACTTACAAGCACCGCTTAATATCTCTGACAATCCTCCCTCTTATGATGCAACTTGAGCTGAATGACATTCTATTTTTCATTCGCTGTCTCAAGGAGCCTGACACATCACAAGCTTTTCAAATTCAATCCTTCATGAACTTTTCCAAAGGTAATACCCGCTCCACTACTTATCTTAAGTTGAATCAATCCTCTTCTAAAACATCTTCTGCAGCCCACTTTTATTTTAACAGACTCCCTCGGCTATGGAACTCTCTCCCTCCGATAAACTTGGAACTATCTCTCCAATCTATAAGGATGAAAGCATGAAATTATAGTTCATAGCATACCAGCACACCACACATAACCGAATTGATACCAAGTGTTTCCTTGTCACACAGTGTGGATAGGCTGCGATAGGACTCAGATGGCCCTATGTTGTCAATCGCCTATAATACCCACAAGGGCTCTTTTCTCTCTCATAAAGCAAACCAGATAGTCGCTCACTCCCTATTGTACTAGTAACAAAAGAGTGATACCCTATAGCAGAAAAGGAAGGGTTTCTTTGTAACATAATGCGGAAATGTACGGAAGCCGAGAAGGGCCATTCGATATTTCCGTTCAACATGAAATTCCATTCTTCCAACCTGCTATTATTCCATTCTGCTATCCTTCCATCCTTCCATACTGTTCAGAGATTGAATGCCCATGGGCAGACGCAACAATTGCGCATGCGCTCACCTGGCAATTGCAACTTTCGTGTCGGGACCCCTCTCCCGTGAAAATCCTTTTAACACAAGAATCCAGGAGTTTCAAAGTCGAACAAGTATTGACACACCTGAATTTCTTGCAAAAGCCTTTCGAGAGGTGTTAATAAACTGGACAGGGTTCAAAAGTAAAATACAAGCAAAGAAACGGGATAAACAACTACATAGAGGGAACACCTTGGTTTCACAAGGAGTGTAAAATAGAAAAGAAAAGGGTTAATAAAGCCAAAATGATAATTATTTCTACAAGATGTTTATAATAAACACACAAGGGCCGAATACCTGACCAGGGAAAAGGAATAATAGGAATATTATTAAAGACAGGCCCAATCCGAGCTACACAACAACAAACTGCTCTTGGCCAACACAACAGTCCTAATAGGGAATTCTGGAAAAACATTTGTGAAACAAGAAAGGAGTAAACGAGACTCAATTTGGATACCGATGAATTGCATCACCATTTCAAATCTTTACATGAGAACAGACACTTGCCATCTGTTTCAAATTCTCTATTGTGACCTTTATCCCTGAACTGGATGAGGTAATTACACATGCAGAAGTGGTGCTGGCAATAAAGAAGCTAAAAAAATTGGCAAATCATCCGAATTCCAGCGGAAGTGTTAAATCACACTGGACAAATTTGCAACTATCCCATCTGATCATAGGTGCATAATTGTATAAGGATAGTTCGGTAGTATCCGACCAGCAGTTGATAGGTAGTGGTCAGTTGAACTAAACTCTAGTATTTCCTTTGGTATGGATAGCTGTAGTTTGTTAGTTCTGACCAGCAGTTGATAGGTAGTGGTCAGTTGAACTAAACTCTAGTATTTCCTTTGGTATGGATAGCTGTAGTTTCACATAGCATGATGGCACAGGGATAGGTGGGTGGGTGTCTATCCTAGACATGATATTCACTGGAAATTTGAAGTATTTCCTTTGTTGCTGATAGGTGCACTATACAACGAATCAAATGATGTCATGATAAAATCACACACATCACACACTACATATATTGTCAGCATTGTGAGATGTTCCCATAGCCGATCTAATGAGACATCACTATGCTTTAACACAACCCATGAATTTCAACTCTTCTTGTTTTTCGTTATCTCTTCTGTCTTTTGCGCTTCTTTCTCTTCATCTCCAAGCTTGGTCGTCCTCAAAAACATGTAATAGAGGATAGCACAATGAGCAACAAAGCATAAGAGTAAATATTGTGAACACTACAACCATACAGCCACATAAGCCCAACATACAAGACTGACAGCCGTACAGCCACAAAGCCCAACATATCAGACTGACAGCCGCATGGCCACAAAGCCCAACATATCAGACTGACGGCCGTACGGCCACAAAGCCCAACATATCAGACTGACAGCCGTACAGCCACAAAGCCCAACATATCAGACTGACAGCCGCACAGCCACAAAGCCCAACATATCAGACTGACAGCCGCACGGCCACAAAGCCCAACATGTCAGACTGACAGCCGCACGGCCACAAAGCCCAACATATCAGACTGACGGCCGTACGGCCACAAAGCCCAACATATCAGACTGACAGCCATACAGCCACAAAGCCCAACATATCAGACTGACAGCCATACAGCCACAAAGTCCAACATATCAGACTGACAGCCATACAGCCACAAAGCCCAACATATCAGACTGACAGCCGTATGGGCACATAGCCCAAAATACCAGACTGACAGTGAGGGACAGACACATCCCTCCCTACATTCAAACCTGCAAGGCATTTCTATAGGGAGCAACAAAACCGGGATTTACGATACAGAGACCAAAACTCACCAGCACTAGGAGTCAAGAATCAGCCCGTCTCTCTGGCTGAACCGCCTTTTCCCGGCAGAATACCACCAAGTCTTACGCGCATGCGTAAAACAATATCGTTCGATTTTTGCCAGTCTGAGTTTGAATCTTGCCATGCAGAGAGAAGGAAGAAGACTCGATCTCTCCGAGAGTGGAAGAGCCTTCGTGAACGTAGGACTGTTGGGTATCTAGATATAAGTGTCCCCCCTGGTTACTCCTGTTCTAGATGCAGGAGGCTGTTGCCGGAATACTCGCCCGTGCAAGCCGAGCGTGAGCCCCTAGCGGAACGGTAAAAATTGAGACCTTGAGTGTACAGACCTCTATCTATCTCAATCCTAGTCTCCTTGGGGTTCTCCTGTGCCGGTCCAGGAGGCAACCCCTGATAGATTTTGCTGTGTAAGTAAACCTCGAGTGTAAGCGTGTGTATTTACACATGTGATAAGTAACTTCTGCCATTTAGCACAGCATGACAACTTCGCCCATGGTGACTGACAACACAGTAAGTTGAATCTACTGCAGTAAGTACATGTTTGTGAGTGTTTACTTTGCGCAGGTACGATAATTGCAGCAGCAGTGTGTTTAAACAAAGGCAAAACGACGACGAAGAGGGAGAAGAAGATGGGCGTGCTGATTTTATGGTAAAAAAGCTTCGCTGGAGGAGTGAGAGGGTGTCCAGCTTTTTTTAACGACTCGACACTGCCCGTACATCCTGAAAGACCGAACAACCAAGTCCTCAAACACAGCCACGCATATACAGTGATTCAATCTCATCAAGACCTGCTCCCCGTGGGTTTCCCAGCTGGGCAGTGATCCAGCAGTGAACATACTGAACAATGGATAATTTCATTCTTTTGTTAATCATGTGAATTGACAGGGATATGTGATGCGCAAGATGATCTGATAGATCATGAACACATTTGGGGATAGTCTTAAAGATATGTGATGTGCAAAGTTATTATAGGTGGTCTGCATTAGATATAAAAGGTCAGGTTAGGTCTTCTGCTAACTACCTGTCAAGTACCTGGCACTTAGCCTATCCACTACTCGGTCATGGGTGGCAGGAAATGTCTTCTATCTGGTAGTGCATGATAGGCCAGAGCACATGAACTCCCACCAAGCAATCCTCGATCAAACCAGCAGTTTGGCAGTTCAAAATTTGCCCAGTGGATCACTTCCGGATAAAGTACTGCACCTGCTAATTGGTATTTTCAATATAAATATTAATGTCAGGAAATCATCATGAGAGTTGTTCATGAACAGAGATAACAGAGCATTGTTGGTTTATTATAAACATCTGTGTAGAAATATCCGGATAATAAAGCTATGCATCTGCTAATTGGTATTTTTTCAATATATATAATGTCAGGAAATCATCATGAGAGTTGTTCATGAACAGAGATAACAGAGATTTTTTATCATTAAATGGCAGACTCCAGGTAGAGCTCTCCACTGCACTAGTCTCTTTAGATCACCTTGCAGACACATACAGTAAATGGATTTGAAACATTTTGCTCATCGGCAAACAACAGGACCTTAGAAGACAATACAACTTCAGGGAGGTCATTAATGTAGATAAGAAAGAGTGAGGGCCAAGGATGCTGCCTTGAGGAACATCAGAGATCACAGGGAGAGCGTTTGATGTTTTTGAGTTGATAGAGACACACTGACTTTGGTTAGTTAAATATGCAAGCAGCCACTTCCAAGCATTACAGTTATACAATGTGCCATAGCTGAATAGGAGCTCATTGTGGGCAACAGAATCAAAGGCTTTTTTGAAATCCAAGTATAAGACATCAGTTGAGAGGAATTTCTGGAAGATTCGAAAATAGAGTTGAAAAAATAAGAGTGAACTGGTGCATGAGGGTGGAACGATGAAGCATGAAGCCAAACTGGTGATTTGATATTTTGTTGTTCATGAATTGGAGGATTACGGTTGAAAACTATCCTTTCTAATACCTTGAGGAAATACACAGGAGAGATAATATAGGCGGTAATTTTGAACAAGGCATCTGTCACACTGATTTAAAAATAGGTTGATTTGATTGCAGGCGCCATTCGGGAGGGATGTAGGACTGAGAGAGGCTGAGGCTGAATAGATGGTGAAGAGGCTGGTATAAAGCTGGGGCACAGAGCTTCAGTACCTTAGGACCAATTTATCACAGCCTGCCAGCCTTAGAAGGATCAAGCGATGTTAATGTCTGGAATACTTCTTCTTCAGAAATAGATCTGTCACTAAGGTTAGGAACGATAATAGGCAATTCTTGAGGGTCCGTCGACTGAAAGAACCCACGCGGTAAAATAGAGTGGGATGTCTCTCAACGTACAAACCTCGCTAACTCTTCTCCGGCATAGAATAAATAACCCTGGCTGGGGAAAAGATGGGAAGAGGGAGGAATGACTGAAAGAACTCCTGGTAAAAATAGAGTGGAAGTACATATCTGTTACATACATTGGCCTTTCCTGATCAGAGATCAGCAGAAATGTCATAAAAACACCAGTAGTCAGGGATATTGTTTTGGCCAGTAACATTCGAGACCATATCTGACACTTTAGAAGTCATCGTTGGAGCGCGGCATCAGCAACTGGGATTTCAATTTAGACTTTGCGACGATAATGCTGCTGAAAAACTGTTGTTCTAAAAATCCAACTTTGATGATCTGAGAGAGAGGGGT